TACAGTTTTTCCTCAGGTCTGTGACATTCAATAAGATACTTATCCTCTCTGACTCTCATTTCCTTAGTGAGGAAATGAGTCTTAGGGGGGTGATTGTGAGGATCACACAAGCAGAGAGCTTAGGACAGTGCCTGAGCTTAGTAAGTGATCAATAAATACCCTCTTCAGAAGACATTGAGGTTTCCCCTAAGAAAAGGGCCTTTATTTTTCAATTCAGATGATTTAAGCAGACTTAATAGAATAGTAAAGGGAAACAAAATGTAAAAGGATGGTGTTTGTGGAACAGTGGTAAAGAATACTGCAGAGGGGCTGAATTTCAATCTCAGCTCTGTGAGAATAAACACCCTAATAGGACTGAAAGCCTTTGTTTCCTTTTCTCTATCATTGTTAAAGAAAGGAGGAAGCCACAGAGTCACACCTTTCCAATTCTCTGACCCAAGCCCTGGATTGTTTAATGTTACCAGAGACCAGATGTACAGTGGTCAAGAAAGGACGCAGAGCTTGGATCCAAACCCTGATCCTGCCCTTACCAGCTATGTGACTTAGGGCTGGCTCCTTAACCCTACCACACTTTTTTCATCTGTGAAATCGAGATCATACTAGTACCTACTTTTGGCTTTTTGTATGTGAGAATTTAAATACGTAGTATACTTAGAGCTCTTAGTGCCCCGAAAGATCAGTGCCACATAGTGATTGTGATTAAAAAAATCTATTGCTATGAAAGAACAATACAAGGAATTGTTTAAATGTGCATAGTCATGAACTACTGAGTCAAGGTAAGTGTCTTGTCAAAGTTGGTAGTCTCTAGGCAGTTCATCCCATGAAGACAAAAATACTGCATTTTTGTCCTAACTCTATTCATTGAAAATGAACGAGAAGTGAAATTCTTCCCTCCTTTGATGGCACAATGAAGAGGTTTCTAGATGTGCCAGGAAACCCTAAACATGAAGCTCAGCTTAGCCCCATTCGAATTCCAGCAGGCAATTTGTTTTTCAAGTACGAGGTTTTCTTTTCTCTTTTTGATACTGAGGATTGAACTCTGGGGTGCTCTGCCATGGAGCTGCATCCCTAGATGCTTTTCCATTTTTAATTTGGACACAGGGTCTCACTAAATTGCAGAGACTGGCCTTAAACTCAGCCTCCAGAGTTGCTGGGATTATAGGCATGGACTACAGCACCTGGCAGGCACTAGGTTTTCATATCTTTAAACAGGGAGGTCAATGAGGGGATTTCTGAAGTTCATCCCAAATCTCAAATTCAATATGGCTAGATATTCTTTGAAATTTGATAAAGGTAATGTAACCCGGCTATAGGTATCTTTTTCACACACCTAGTGTATTTCCAAAAAGAATTATCAAGTTCAAGATGATGTCATTTTCCTGTGTTTTGGGAGTCATTATGTAAGAGCCATGACCAACTCTTTAAATCCATGAAAATGGATTACTTTTAGCAGGATTGATACTTTTTAAAGCTCCGGGATTGTCAGAAGAAAACTGATAAGGACATTTTCCCATTCATCTTAAATGAATTTTTGGAGACTCAAAGAATAAAACATAACCCATACACATTTAGTGTTAATTTATCATTAACACGTAGAGAATAAAAGTAGGATTCTTATCTAGTTTAGCTTAGCAATTCTCAGCTAAATGAAATTAAGCTGATTTAGTCCAGTATTTAGAACTCGGAGGGTGAAAAAACGTTAAGTCTGGAGGATTTTGTGGGAGTAGCATCAGAACAGCTTTTATTCAGATAAAGTTCCCAAAGTCTACCTGCCCCTACCCCCCAGCTGCTTCTGGTCACTGTCACTGCGGAGGGCTACACAGGAGTCATGAGAGGTTTGTTTGCTGAGCCCTGACTGTCTTAACAGCTTTTAAACACTGGTAGTGGCTTCAGGAAAAAAAAAAAAAAAAAAAGGAGAGGCGGGGCAGAGAGAAAGAGGAGAGACTGTGGTTTGAAATGAAAACATCTGGAACACCAGACTTTCCTTTGGGTCAAACAAAATTTAAATTTTAGCTCTGCTACTTTTCAGGTATGTGACCTTGGGCCAGTTGTTTAATCTCTCTAAGCTKCACTTTTCACATGTAATTCTTCCTACTTCATACGTAGGGTTACTATGAGGCTTAATGAGATAATACATTAGTACTTGAATCAGTCAGCACAAATAAGCAGTGATGGTGGATAGTCACAGTGCAGGTCAACTATACTTTTTTTGTAGCTTCTCTGTTTCCTTTTCAAATATCTTAGGCCTAGGCATTAACAATCAAAATTTGGGTCTAATCCTCAGTCTTGCTAGTGAGCCCTCAAAAATCAAGATCTTTTCATGGTTCAACGTGGGCACTGGACAAAGCTTCACTTTGTAAGACTGTCTAGCTAGGTTAAAAATAAAATATGCAGAAATGTGTGGAGCTTTAACAATAGAACATAGTAAAATGGATCATTCTTGGCTGAAAACAAAGGCATTATAGTATATAAATGTGTATGTAATATCCATAAAAAGGCCCGGAAAGTAGCAATATTAGTATGTTAACAGTTTCCTCTGGGAAGGGAGGAAGATTGTGGAGGAGGTGAAATACACTTTAGTATTGTTTTAATACTTTACACATTTGTTTGCATTTTTGTTGATGGATAGTTAAAAAACAAAAGCAAACTAAAACAACAACAAAACAAAAGCAACAAAATCAAGGTACAAACTGCAAGGAACACTTAAATGCAAAAATAAACCAAACATGGATTAAAACAAGGTAGACAAGGATCAAGGAATTTACTCCTGGGGCTGTCAATGACCTGACTAAGTCATATTCTACTTAGCTTTCCTGGAAGAGCAAGGACAGGGGAGAATAAGGAGGGACTTCTGATCCTATCTCTAGCAACTAATAGATCCAGACTCTTAGGCAGGTGGAGTTGCCTGSTGGTTATCTTGGTGCAAACTTCTTTCTCTGTGCAAGTGCTCAAATAAGACATTACTATCAGTGTTCTTTGCAAAATTCAAGGTCTGCCAGAGCACTAACTAAAGTATATTGGTAAATTATGCTTTTAAGCAAAATGAAATCAGATGGCAAGTTAGTATTTCCAGTAGTCCATTTCTAAGTCAAAGAAAATAATAAAAGATAACTTTTTAAAAAGTCTAAGCCCAGCTCATTATCATTTCCCGATATCTAACTGAAAGAATTCTAAAACACCCCCAGGGCTGGGAGTGTAGATAAGGAGACATAGCCAAAGGTTGGATCTTAAGCACTGCAAAAAGGAAAAAAAAATATGAATAAGTAAATAAATACCCCCAACACCACGGAATAACTAAACTAGACATGGTAGTGTGCCCCTGAAGTCCCAGTTACTTGGCAGGCTTGAGCCTAGGAGTTCCAGACCAGCCTGGGCAGCATAGTGGAGACTTCCTCTCACAAAGAACAACACAATTTAATATAGCCAAAGGAAGTAGAGAGTCTACTATATAAAGGGGCCCTGATATTTTCTACTAACCAAATATCTACTTGTTTTTGGAAATTAATCTGCACAAAAGGCCCTTCACTTGGAAAGAAATATTTTGGGAACCTAAATGGCATTGGGGAGCTCTGGGAAGTTGCACTGACATACTTCATTCAGTTTTGCAGTTCTCCACTAGTTAGATACCTCACCTGGTACTCCAGCCCCATGAGTTGGTTTCCTTTTAGTTTATACGCGTGTGGTTTGGCCCATGGACTTTAGGGGAGATTTTTCTTAACTGATGAGGCACTCAGTCAAGGTGCATGGGAGCCCCTGTTGCCCTTGTGGCCGGGCCTAAGAGGCTGCCAAACCTCCAGGCCTGGTTTCCCAGCTTGCCCATTTGGTGCAGGGAGGTAGCCCAGCCCAGCCTATAACTCATTATGTTGTGCTGGGAAGTTAACTGAAGGACTGCATTTCAGGCGTGGCACAGAAAGGACCTGAATGAAGGCAAGGAAGAATGAATGGAGAGAACCCTTTTGCTAGAATTGCCCTAGGGCATTAAGTCGGATGGGGCAGCTGGAGCTGGAGGAGGCTTCTTTTGCTTAAGAAACATTCTCCATAAGAATGTCAGTCATCAATTCTTCTAACAATCATTCATTTCTTACCCCCTACCTGTGTATAAATTTTCAGCGTTACAGACCACCAGTGTGGCCATTACAATGAAGTGAGTTTACTGCGGGAACACACACGCACACATACACAAAGACATTTGTTCATTTACTACCCATGTAAAATTGCTAATAACATGAAGAACAAGGAATTCAAATAAATGTATACAGCAGCATAACCCTGAATTATCACTCAAGTACAGACCACCCCTGCTCTGTCTTTTTAAAAAAAGGTGAAAGGTGGATACATTAAGCAAAATCGAGGCAACTTGAAATAGAGGATTTAAATGCTGGATTCCATCATTTCTGTAAAAGGTCACTCTAGTCCTTTGCTATTTATATCATAGATAGAGGCACAGTAAATTATTGGCTGAATAGATTTGGAGAGCCCAAGCTGCTGTTTCTGACGAAAGAAGATGATAATGCAGCACTGGAGACCGGTGAATGAAAGGTGTGGAAAAGTTGAACCCTTCAAAGATAGGAGAGAGAGAGAGAGAGAGAGAGAGAGAGAGAGAGAGAGAGAGAGAGAGAGAGAGAGAGAGAACACACTACTCAATTAGCCCTGACTAAATTACTAGCCATAACTGTACTCATCACTTCTCTTTGAAACTACCTTGTAATCTTTGTCTTGGCTTTGATTGAGAAAACCCCTTTTCCCAGCTCAAACCCTTTTTAAGGCATCTCAGCCCAACCCCCTCCTCCCATTGCAACTCTTGCTAGCCCCCTCCACTTCACCCCACCCGGACAAATTTGAATCAAGGCAAGGACAGTTTTCACCTTGACCACTGCTACCAGAAACCAGGCTTCCATGAAGGGCTGAGCAACAAAACCTTAGGCTTACCCCAGGCGAGCATTCAAAAGCATTTAAGAGAAGCACAGAAAACAAAAGAAACAAACACAACCTGTCCTTACCCGCTTCTTAAAAAATTGAAAGGCTGAGCATTTCTTGACTGGGAATCCATTCATGTCTTTGTTTACCATTTTCCACAGTGAGGAGTTCACAGTTATAGATCCAGGGTGGCACCCGCTTGGTTAGGGCATCTGTTTCCCCGGTTGGTTTCCCTCCTGCAAACAGTGAATGAAAAAGGAGCGGGATGGAGAATCTAGCGGGGCTCAGTTCTTCACTCGCACATTCTGCAGCACCAGCTACTGCAGCAACCTCTCCCCACTTTCATTTGCCACCAGCCGTGGCTTTTCTCTTTCCATCCTTGCTCCGAAACATAAGCATCACCGCTGCAGGACTCCGGGGGACGGATGGCGGGATACGACAAGTCTCCAGGGAGATGCTCTTGCAGCCACCAGGCGGGAGGTGGGTACCCACCCCGCCCTCAGCTACCTCGCAGTTCCGGGGCCGGCGCTGGAGCGAGTTGCTGCTCCAGGTGATGCGCTTCTGGAGGCTGCTGGAGAGGAGAACTGTTTTTGATTGTGTAAGTTCCAGTGGGAGCTGTAGTTAAGCAGCTGAGAGAAGGAGTAAGAAAGAGCAGAAGCCAGAGGGAGGGAGGGAGGGAGAGCCGCGCCAGAAAGGGAGAGGGAGAGAGAAAGCCAGGCTGGGAGAAGCAGCGATTCATGCATATCTGAGCAGGAGCAGAAGATGGACCAAAGGCACCACAAGCGCAGGTCGCGCTGGAGAGCAGTTGGGTCCCCTGGGAGGGCCACTTGAACAGCTTTTTCTTTTTTTTTCTTGAGAGGACCATTTAAATCAGAGTTTCATATAAAATGCACTTTTTATTTTCTGCTTCTCGAAGTTTTTTTTTTTTTTTTTGATACCTGTTCTAGTATAAAAGCTTTTGAGCAGAAGTGTAATCCAGTGTGTTCCTGACCTATGCAAAGGTGGAGAAAACTGCAATAAAGTGCAAGCTTAGGTATCACAATGGAAGATCTCTTGCCACAGAATCTTCCCCAGCATCCTATTGCTTATTGATCATATTGTAGTGGGCAACGGGGTAAATAATTGTGTCTTTTTCACTAAAGAATTCTGAGAACGAACACACACACACACACAGTCCTACACGAATTATTTATGCCAAATTTTACAAACAAAACATACACACATGCAAACAGGGTGTTACCAAAAAGTATTACTGACTCCTTTTATCCATGCAGAAGATCTTGTAGATAAAGACCTATTTTTACTTCTATTAAGTGAAAATTTACCCAAAAATCCTTTCCCAAAATTTACCACCAAATGCTGTTATCCTTTGCACATTAAATTCATTTAAAACCATTTAATTGCATATGACTTTTTTTTTTCATTTTCACTCCTTAATGTTGATATTTTAAGGGATTTATTTATTTATTTATTTAYTTACTTTARACCAAGCTTATGGCTAGATGAAGAAAGCAAAGAAAATAGACTTGGCATCTGGTCAGGCTTGCTACGACATCAGTGTGTGGCTTTCTGCCAGTCACCTGACCTCACTGTGCCTTTCAGACGCTGCCTCATCCATAAAATGGAGGCAACCACTCGTTCCTTCATTCCCTCATTTATTTAGTCATTCATTTGTTCCCTGTATCATTCCATTAATCCATCAAATAAAATCCAAATGTAGCAAGTGTCCCCAGGATGTAGAGCTTTTTTCCGAGTCATCCCAAGGGAGAATAATCAATAAGTAAGGAAAAGGCACAATGTCAACTCGGTGCAACTGATGGCCACCTCATTAAGAACTACAAGTCTAACACTGCTCAACCACTTGCATAGTTGTCTCTAGAAATGACAGAAAAAGCAGGCAGGTAAATTTAGGAAGACAATACATGATATCATTGCAGTGAAGCATGAATCTCTTCTGTGAAGCCAGATTTGGGGGGAATAACAATGAAATCTTGTTTGCTAAATGCCTTGAGATTTTCAAAAAAGAAAATGCAGCACAAGCAAATGATGGCCTGGTTGAGAGAAAGCAAGGTTTATTTTGGAGAGATGCACTAAATTGTCTAAGAGGCAATGCTGTATTAGGTCATCTGCAATATTTATAGGTTTTGTGGTTCCTCTGAAAGGTTCATTAAAATTATGGTAGTTCAAAGGGCATTATTGGGATGTTAGAAATGCTCTTAATCATGGTTACAGGACCACGCATTTGTCGAAACGCATCAAACTACATATATGGAAGGGATTTCCTGGTACTTTTTGTTTTATTTTGAGAAAGGGTCATGCTAAATTGTCTAGACAGGCTCACACTTATGATCCTCCTTCTTCAGCCTCCCAAGTCACTGGAATTGCAAGCATTTGCCCCCATGCCCAACTGGGAAGGGAACTTTTTTTTTTTTTTTTGTACCGAGGATTGAACCCAGGGCCTCATGCTTGCAAGGCATGTACTCTACCAACTGGGCTATATCCCCAGCCCCGGAAGTGAACATCTTTGCTGCATGTAAATTATACCTCAACAGACCTCACTCATTAAAATAATATAGTGGCCACTCAAGTTCTTTCATGTTCCTGTCATTTATTCTCCCCCAAAAAAGTATTTTAACAGACTTTTATTTCYGTTTCAGTGATACATAGTGATAGAGGAGGAGCTCTTTAAGCAATCTAGTGAGAAGCTTGATTCCTTGTCCTGATTCCGCATCATTCTATGATACATCCTGGTTTTGTTTGTTTATTTATTTGGCTTTGTTTAGATTATGTTTATTTGTGATGAAGACAGGAGAAATTATGAGGGARGAGGTAAAAAGAAAACTGAATGCTATCTCACCTACCCTCCACATGCCACCCCTAGGTGATGCTGCCTTTACCAACTAGTCTATGCTGGAGTCTGTGCTGGATTCCTGCGAATACAATGATCAATGATTCTGTCACTAAGGAAACTCAGTTCAGTGCAGAGCTTAACATGTGCGTTTGTATGCACATATGCAGGCATCCGGTCTGCACAGGCTCTGAAGTGGGTAGGTTAGGGAACAGAAGGTYGGGAAGCTTAGGAAGTTCCTCAAATGGCTGATGTTAGTGCACGGCTCAGAAGAAGGGGCAAAGGTTAACCAGATGGAGGAATGGACGCATAGGATGAGGACTTAGAGTCACCCATGACTTTGGACTATATTTTGGTCAGTGCAATAATAGAGAATTGTGTTAACTGAAACAAGGCATCTTTCTTCTCACTCTCACCTCTGTTTCCATTCTCTAGATGCCTACAGGTAGGCCCAGAGGGGCTACTGTTTACTAGATGTCTCCTTTGACAGCTCATTGTTAGTGCTTACAAAGGACCCTAGGCTCTTTYTGAAAGTAAAAAGGAAACTAACCCTTGAATTCTGGCAGCATGTGTTTATATATTAAGCTTCTTTTAATTTAAGTAATAGTTTTACTTACCCTTTTTTTTTTCCTAAGAATTCTTATTCATTTTTATATCTTCAACACACAGTGGGAATACTTGGGCCAGGTTAGGTACTCAATGAATGGTTTTCAAATGAATTAAATAAAGAGCCAAGCTGACATCAGTGACCCTGAAACTAGACTATTTGCAGGAATCATTAAATACCCCTGAGAGTCTTAAACCATTACATTAACTTCCATACTAACCAAAGCTCTTGTAAAAACCAGTGACCCTCACTTTTCAGGTTTCTTCTACAGACCTCATTGACATTTTTTGCTTTTTGTTTTGCAGTACTGCAGATTGAACCCAGGGACACTCTACCACTGGGCTACATCCGMAGCCCTTTTTTATTTTTATTTTAGGTATTTATTTTTATCTCTRCTCAACACTTGCCCTCTATCCTGYCCTTTATTTATTGAGACAGGGTCTCTCCATGTTGCTGAGACTGGCCCCAARTTTGTGATCCTGCTGTCACCACGCCTCGCTCTTATTGACATTGATACTTCTTGCTCTTCTTGCTCTGTTTTTTTTTTTAATTTGTTTTTTTTTAATGGAAAATTTTAATGTTAAAAAGGATTTTGAAGGATTTTGTGAACTTCTATTTGCTGTCTTGTAGTACATCTGTTACCAAAAGCTTGGTCCTTGTCCCTGATGCCAGACCAATAACGAGAACATGGTTTTGAGCAAAAGGAAAAAGAAGTTTTATTACTTCCTTAGCAAAGGAGAAGCACAGGGGACTTATGTCCTAGAAGCTGTGATTCTGCCCATCAGGGGAACTGGGAGTCTTTAAAGAGGGGATTCAACGGCTACATTCCAGGGGATCTCTGTTGGAGTTGTAATTCACTTGTTAATTTGGGAGATAGTCATTTCTGACATCTTCTGGTGCTATCCCCAAATCTGGATTACTTTGTTCCTATGGTGGGTGTGTGCTCAAGAACAGACAACTCTGCTTAGGTTGGGGAAGARAAGTAACCCTGTTTCCCCTGAGATTAGGGAGGAGCAGGGGAGGAGGAAGAGAAAGAAACATGTCTGTTTTAAATACAAGTTTCAGTGGCAGAGCAGCAAGGGCTATATTCAAAGCATAAAGTGGACACCGATTACGTATCCACTCTTTCTCCCCAGGAGATTGTTTGAAGTTCAACACAAAGAATAAAATAAATTTACTATCCAGGTAGGATAAATAAATTTACTATCCAGGTAGGAATGATGACAAGTATACTCCTGGAGGGGGAAGAATGCTGGGTTGATTTAGAAGATTGTATATTAACCACCCTTCCTAACTGTGAGATTCAACAAGGTCCTTTAACTCACTGAGCCTCGGTTTCCTCATCTGTAAAATAATAATAACAAAATGCTTTTCCACCTACCCTATAAGGGAATTATCAGCATCAAATTATATGTGAAAGGGCCTTGCAATCAATAAATCTCTCTATATATTTTTGGTTTCCCTGAAGCAAGAGGCAGTGTTGCCAAAGCTCGGTCCTTCTCCCCAATGCCGTTTTAATAATGAGGATACATTTTTGAGAAAAAGGAAAAAGAAGGTTTATTGCTTTGCTAGCAAAGGAGAAACACAGGGGACTTCTATCCCAAAGACTCTGGTTCTGCCCATAGAGGAAGGGGGGGGGTGACTTTTAAAGAGGAGACTCAAAGGCTATATTTCACACGGTTTCTGTTGGAGTTGTC